CGATTTGAGCCCTGTGCTAACATTCACAATTTATCCAACAAAAGTCTGTTTGACAGCCACGCCACAAAGCCTTGGTTCGTGGTTGTAGAGCAGGCGGCTGGTGTCCTGCCACGAAGGTTTCGCATTGACCAAACAAGCCACTTTATACAAAGCTGCACAAGCAGTTGCACGACCAATCGTTCCCTCCTAAACATAACAACGCGAAGGCGGCTTCAGTAGGGCCGAAGGCAGGCTGTGCGGACGTGACGCGAGGGGGCTCCCAGCCCGTCAGGCGGCACCAGCCGTAAGACGGGAGAAGCCCCCCGCCCCGTCGAAGGTTGTCGCAGCCCGAGGTGCAGCGGTGAAACCAGCATGTATGCCGAGCATGGCATTGCAGCATCGCTGAAGCAGTACTTTGATTGCCAGTGTCCTGCATTTCTACCGTTGTATGATTGCCCTATGAGCTTCTCCGATTAGCTGGCCTAGCCCCGTATACAATGCCTCTTTGCGGGGCGTCTTCCTTTGCGTCCTCATGTTCCACATCCTGTTTGCCTCGGCCTCTTGTTGCACAGCAGCGACAACATCCGGGTCAAGACTGCTTGCGCTCACACTTCACAATCCGACAGAAAAGTTTGTCTGTGGATGCGAGTGTTCAACTGGCATTTAATTATTTGGGCTGGCGGTACTTGAAGCGATTTCCCAAACTGAAAGCAGCCTATACAGACCCAACACCGCAAGCCACAAGTGCTGAGTGCCCTAAACTCTCTAAACCACTGCGCAGCAAACTCTAAAGCCAGGTTGGAGGACTGCGAGAACCAGTTCCACCAGATTGGGCAGAGCCTCTTTGCTCATGCCGTGGAGGCTTTCAGAGGGTGTGGGAGAAGTTGGGGGCTTCTAAACGAACATATGCATTCATGAGTCTCGGGATTTGGGTAATTCTAGAGCGGGCCCCGATATTACGGCACCCTTTTCATCAGCACCTCAGAAAGGGACTGAATATGATTAGAGAACTTCAGATTGGGGATTTCGGGTTTAGGGGTTTGCCGGATTTTCGGGGAGGGCCGTTTTTGGTGGTGTGCAGGGTTGGGCATTAGGCTGTGGGGGTTTTGAGGGAGCTGAAGGGATTTGGGGTTATGCGCTCACAAGATGCACCTTGAGATCAGTGGACAGGCGTTCAGCACCCGGCATACCCAGCATGCACCCGAAGGCTCCAACTACGCAAAGCGAGCGTGCCTCGGTCTGTCGACGCGACAGGCACTCAATAAGCCCTTTCCATCCCCGGCCAGAAGACGCAGCAGGAAAACAGAACAGGAAGAAGCCTGCCTGCAAGTAAATGATGAAGTAGATTAGAGAAATACAGTGTGGGAAGCCATGCGTCAAAAGCATGCAAACTAGAAGCCCAGAACACGTAAAAGCAACCAAGCTGCTGAGCGACCGGACGAAAGGCCTCAAGCGATCATGATCTTCCAAGACAAGCAAACAAACTTAGCAAGGGCGAGTCGCCATCTCCGAGCATCCGAGGACGCAGGTTACATCACGACGCAGCAGGGCGCGCTCATCAATCAGAGTGCCCCACAATCAAACAAAGCACCTCCGTGCCATCCGGAGCCGGTCACCCCATCTCGCCGGACGGCGACTTGGCACCGCCTCTGGACGTCAAGATTAAAAACCCAGCGTTGCACACTCCGGTGTGCAATCCGAGACCGAACAAAACTTAACTAAGACAAGAAACCGAAGTGGACGCCATGTGAGCTGCGAGTTGCCGGCAAACGAGCATAGCAAACCACAAAAATGGTAACGACTGTGGCAGCGCCCTAGACGACGAAAGTTTATCCACACCAAAGACAAACAAGCACCTACGCCAAGGTGCGCAAGAACTATACTGGCAAAGCCAAAGGAACAAGCTAAAGAAAACCGTTGGGGCCCGTGGAACAAAAGGTTACAGAGGTATTCCTTCCTAAACACCGAACCTGTGCAGATTGCGACGCAAAGCGCGGAATATTACAGTCGCCCCCGCCACTCGTGCCACTCGCTCGGCGAGTGGAACGAGTGGAACAGTTGGAACGACTGGAACAGTCGGAGCGAATGGAACGAGTGAACGACTGGAACGGTCGGAGCGAGTGGAACGAGTGGAACAGAACGATTTCCGCCCCTCCACGCCAATACTCTCCGCCCGCACGCACACACGCACACACACACACACAGATATATATATATATATTACACCAGCCCAAACATTCTGAACTCAGCATAGGGGCGCTGAAAAACCCGCCATGGCAAGAAATCATACCAAACAGTATGGACTTCCTAGCCCTTCTGCCGGATGGATCATGCCTTGGTGCTCAACATACCGTAGCTCATGATCATATAACATGCACGTATGCAAAAACTCGTGTCTGCGCAAGAGTGCGCAAGGGCGAGCGCAAGGGGTATCAAATGGTTACTCATCGGAACAATAATATCGATCAACTCCCATATACAGATATATGTATATAGAAGTATATGTACACATACTTATACATAATGCTTAAATACTGTACATATACGTACACACACATGTATATGTATAAATAAATATAAATATAGATACACATATAAACATAAATATACACATAAATATAATATATGAAAATGTATATATATATAGGCATACATATATACATATACACAGGTATATATATATATATGTATACATACAATGCACGTGCACATGTGTATGTATGCATGCATGCATGCATGCATGCATGCATGCATGTATGTATGTATGTATGTATTTATGTATGCATGTGTGTACGCATGTATGTATGTATGTATGTATGCATGTATGTAGGCTTATATGTATGTCTGTCTGTCTGTTTGTCTGTTTGTCTGTTTGTCTGTATGTATGTATGTATGTATGTATGTATGTCTGCGTGCATGTGCACGTGCACAAGCATGTATGTATGTGTACATCCATGTGTGTGTATGTATGTATGTATGTATGTATGTATGTATGTATGCATGCGCGCAGTTATGTGTGTGTGTGCATGCATGTATGCATGTATGCATGTACGCATGTACGCATGTACGCATGTATGCATGTATGCATGTATGCATGCTCGCATGCATGGATGCATGTATGGATGCATGTATGTATGTATGTATGTATGTATGTATTGTGTATGTATATGAACAGTATGTAGGTATGTGTGTGCATGTACGTATTGCCTGTATGTATGTGCGTTTGTCTGGTCTTTCTGGTTTGTCTGGCTGGTGTGTCTCATGTCTGTATGCCAGTCTTTCCGTCCGTCCGTCCGCCTGTGCGTCTGTATAAGTGTCTGTATGCACTCTCCATCGTCGCAGGAAGCGGCGAAAACGAGCCAGCTCAGCGGAAGGCATCCCATGGGCTTTCCCGTTTCACAGTCTCTGTGCAGCAGCACAGAAGTACCAGAGCACGCGAGGCAGAGGGCACCTACTGAAAATCGTGATACTTACTTGTACAGCGATGCAGCACTTGCAAACCTTCCCTCGCCGTGGGCTACCTGCCAATGTACCGCATATCATGCATTTCCCTTTATCTCTTTTGTGTGGTAGTTGGGCAAAAGGCCGCTTTACAACCTTGCTGAGCCTGTTGATGACAGTAGTCAGCAGAAAGCGAGCAGCAAACCGAGCTAATTAAACATGAAACAATGGAGCCACTGAAGTATGACGCTTCGCACGTTTTAGACAGCACATGACAATACAATACTGTAATCTAGATCTGCAAAAAATAAATAAATCTATATGTATATATATATATTATATTTATATGTTGTAGCTTGGAGGTGTGAGTCCAGTGTTCTGAGGGTCTCACGAATCAGCATAGACGCACACGTGCACATCTTCACGCAGTGCAATCTCATGTTGGGCGCCATCTCATTATGCAACGGGCTCCTCAGTTCCACCCTGTGCATAAGTCTCGCGATAGGCATCGCATTGACATTAGTTGACTTGGCATCCATCGGTAGGGGGAGCTAGAGGGGACAGACACTGCAACCCAACTACTGGTAGTGCAAGCAAAGCCGCTTTCGTGGGCAGGCGCGCCAACTCTGCGGTGGCCAGGGCCCCAGTCACATGCAGCTGTCCGCTGATGTGGATGTTGTTTGTTCAGAACAAGGCGTTGCGTGGCATGCGGCATGCTGCAAGTAGAGGTTCAGTCAATCAAGTCGTAAAAGGAGCGGGCGACTTCCACGGCCGGTGGCGAGGCCCGCGGAGAATGCCTAATGCATTATGGATCCTTGCAAGCATCGGATGGAGTTGCGAATCGCGTTTGATTTTGCAGCTTCGGACGTGCCTTGGTTGAAGCGGATTGGCTTTCGCCTGCAAACGGGAGCAGACCAGCTCAGGCCGCACGGTTTTCTTCGTAGAGTGCATTCCGCTATCGAGTCAAATGTGGCACTTGACTTATCCCCGCCCCCACCCCACTTCTAACATGAGACCCTGAAGCAGTATGCGGGGGGAATTTGGCAAGACAGTGCCAATGACAAGTTATGATAAACTGTCTTCGTTGGAATTAGAGGTTGCAGGTTGCGCATTTTGTTTTGGTACTAGGACTCGCACGCTTTTCGGTATAAGTACTGGTGGTCGTATTAGTGCTAGTACGAGTTCTAGTGCCTAGGCACTTAGAGCAAGTACGTAGTGCCAGTTTTGGCCTTAACTGGGGATGTACCGGTCTGTCAGGTGACACGCAATATGTCCTGGCGAGAGCCCAGCTGCCTGAATTGGCTTCGGCTTTACTGTCAGTGGCTTCGCTTAAGCCCTTGGGTGCCAGGACTGCCCAGTACATCTGCGAAGATCTTCAGACACGTTACGGCTGTTTGGAGGCTGTCAGCGTTTCGAAAGGGAGAACGTGCCAACTGCAGACTCAGACTTGTTGCCTTCTTCCGTTCTTCGGCGACATGACTGGACGAAGGTGGCTGCAGCATCAGCTGCGCTTGCTCTGAACATGCCTGGAGCTCGACTGGTGCCCAGACCGCGGTAGCCGCCGAAGCCGACCAGCCAAGGTGTTCGGAGCACGACCTCAACTCCTGCTTGGTGCAGCTCGGTGACGGTGAGAAAGGCGGCCCGCTTTGCAGTCCTGCGCCAGCAATCAGCATTGGACCTCTGGAGGAATCCGCACCACACCACTCTCAAAGGTGGCTGGGCACCTGCCAAGCATCGGCTTCGGTGCCCAAGCCTTCGAGGACACCCCCGTACTCGCGCTTCCCGCAAGTGGATGCATTGGACTACATTTGTGCTCCCAAGCTCGCCGCTTTGATCAGGGCTCAAGCCTGTCTTCGGCACGCCGTCTTTGGACCAGAAGCGAAGTCATGCAGAACCAATACAGGCACAGAATCCACAGCAACCATGTGAAATCACAACGATGGTTTCCTGCCAGCAGACAGCATGAATGCGCGATCTATTTGTAACACAAGAGGAATTCGTAACGAATCAGAGCATGTTCCACGTGCTTCTATTGACCGCCAGTGCTTCAGCTTCACTCGCTTCTCAGGCTGCCGTAACTTGCATGCATGCGATTGCCGAGGAATCGAAGTAATGCCCAGAAACGTGAATTGAAAAGCAGCTCACTTCCGATGCATCAGCGCAAGGCATCCCTGTCGGGAGCACTGCTGTGGCGCGGTGGTAGGGATGGACTCGGCGTCCATGCTGGCCGACACTACCGTGAGGGTCAGACCGGCATGGAGGGATTGCGTCAGGACACTGCCGATGTTACCTTTCTCCAGAACATTTACAGTGCCTGCTTCTTCGTGTGCTTTGTCGTACAGGTGAGATAGTGGAGCGTTGCTACAGCCTCGTCATTTCGGAGTCGTTGGTCCCAGCTGATGCCGGGCTGCTTCCCCTATGCTTGTTTCATGCAGGTGAGATTGTGGAATAGGATGGAGATCGGCTGATCTGTGACTGAAGACAGGCAAGCAGCTGCTGTTCCCTTTTGGCTGGGGATTGCTCTACAACGAAGGCAAACTTGATCACAGAGTCTGTCTTGTAATTGGCATGTATTTGCGGTGTTCCCGGTTTGATCGCCGCTAGAGTTGACGGCCAGCAGATGTTATTGTTGGCTTTGCCCTTGCGGCTTTTGCAGCTTCTGCCCTCAAGCATCTGGGCCATTGCCGCAAGGCCACATGGGAAGCATGCAAGAAGCACAGCGTCACAGTGAATGCTTGGACGGCAGGGGGCTCCAACAAAGCTCTCAAAATGATTCGAAGGCCTGCCAGCAAGCAGCAGTAATTGCGACCAAAAACGGCCCTACCCCAATCAACAATGAACCGAAGGGCAACGGACAGCTGCAGTCCTCTCTGTATCATAGAAGAGACAGCAAGCAATCATGTGCACATATGACACAAAGCTAGACAAGTCGGACAAAAACGAAGCGCCACGTCGTATGTTTCGGGTGCTCGGCCTCAGCGGCGAGAATGTGTTGCGGCTGGACCTGGAGGTTCGGAAGACTCCGGAAGCTTTCGGCTACAGTCATGTCTACTGCAGTGCAGCGTGCAGCGCGCAGGAATGGAAAGAGGAGTGCTGCTCGGACTCGGACTTTGCCCACTTCCTCAAGAGGAAAATCCATCAGCACACGGGGGTCCCACACGTCCGCCAGAGGCGCCCTTGGCTGCCTCTTGCCTTCCCGTTCCCCCGCGTGAGATCCTGGAAATGCCTTGTGTTTCTTCCTTGACAAGACCAGGTGATCTTTGGAGCTCGGAGTCGCATCAGTATTGCTGCAGTATGCAAAAACAGACGAACGTGTAAAGCCCCGAAACTGGGCTTCAGCGGCTTCCAAAGTAGCCGAGGCACGGATTCCCAAACCTCCTGCCTGGGACGACTAACCGAACCATCGGCCACCCCCTGAGCCCTAAGCCCTTGGCTCATCGCACAGCTTCGTAGTTGTCGTCACAACTCGGGGCCACCAGAATCAAGGGATCCTTTCCTACACCCTTTCACAGAGTTCTTGCAGGCTGTTGATGGAAGAGGGGAAGTCGTGGGAGCAGCTCGGAATCTTGGACAAGTCAATGACGCTGCCTTTTCTTGTTTCAACCGTGAGAAAGTCTTGGGCAGAGCTAATTTCTGGAAGGTCCCCAAATAATTGACGCCAGACCCCTTATCAGTACCCTAGACTAAGGTAACTGCAGTAACCGCAAACCCTGTTCCCTGCGATTTTGTGGTCCTAAGCCCTAAACCACCAAATCCTAAACCCGTAGAAATCCTAAACAAGTTGTGCGGTCTGATGAGTACTACTCCCTAACATCTGAAAGCCCTGAAGTCTTCACCCCGCCAAAAAAAAGCCCTCAGCCTTAACACGCCAGGGCAGCCCCGAAACTCTCGTAGCCGCTGAGGACGCCCCCGGGAGGTGCAGGTGGTCCTGAACCAGGCGCTTTGGCGCGAAGTGTTTGGATCTCCCTAAACCCTAAACCCTAGGTTTAGGGGCGTCGGTCTTCAGGGTTCAAGGGTTTTAAGGGGGTCAGGGGTCGGCGTTTAGGGTTTGGGGTTTGGAGGATCTTTGCACACATCTGCTTTTCGGGGTCATTGCTGTTTGTCAATGTGACGTTTTCGACTGATTCAGGTGACCCATGACTTTGATGAGCAGTTGTTAGCCGCTGCTGCAGCAGGACCAAGCAGTACCCATTTGCACTCCCATTTGCCGATGCCACAGAACGGCTCATGAGTCTTGATCGAATGCCATGTGCCAAAAGTTGTTGCCAAACATCGTCGCAGACTTTTACACGGCCGACTGCCGTGGGATGTGGGAAGGTACGAGCAGACCATACAAACATATAGAGCGCTCGTTTGACCGCGCTGTGAGGAGATGGTGAGATCGTGGGGGGCCTTCTCAATCGCTACCAGGCTTGGCCGGAGACTACTGAATGTGAATATGAGAGGTTTTACTGGAAACATGACACAGGCCTGCGGGGCATTTGCCTCTTGCGGCAAGCCCCTCCTTACCTTGCTTGTGCTGCTTCAGACTGTCAGACACACCTCCTTTCCGAGAGTTTCTGTGTTCTCTTGCAGACGAGCTCAGTACAGCTCAGCTTTTACGCCTTTGGTGAGAGTTTCCCTTGAAACTCTTGTAGCCATAGGTTCACTGTGGCTCAGAACTTCGCCAGGATCCAAATTGTCGAGATGAGCGTGGCGAAACTGCCGTCTACAAGGCGCACGCAGACGCAAACCTCTCAAACAGGGGTGTTTTCGTTGCATCAGAGCATAGCCTTCAGGCCAGCCAAGCTGGATACCTACAAATTCTTCAGATGTTGCTGGAAGCCGGTGGTGAGAAGGACGACGTGCCGTGAGAAATACTTACCGATCTTTACGAACCCCCTGCCGCCCTTGGGAGGACATAGCTGATCAACATGGAACTGTACCGCTTCACGTTGCAGCTTTGCGAGGGCACCTGGATGTCGTGAGAGCTTTGATTCAAGCTGGTGCAGACAAGGATTTGGCCGACCAACATGGCGCGGTTGCCTTGCACATGGCATCCCTCAATGGTGAGGTGGAGGTGGTGCAGCTTTTGGTGGAAGCAGGAGACGAGAAGGATAAAGTTGGGGGTCTGGGCGCTACGCCTCTACATATTGCAGCTGAGCGAGGGCACCTAGAGGTGGTTCGCTACCTGGTAAAGGCAGGGGCAAATTTGCATTTTGCCAACTTGCGTGGAGCAGCCGGCATTCACATGGCCGCTTTGAGCGGACATGTCGAAGTGGTGCGTTTGCTGGTCGAAGCAAAAGCTGAGAAGGACCAACGTGATAAACATGGTGCCAGCCCGTTGCAGCTTGCAGCCGAGAGAGGGCAAGAGGCTGTTGTGAAGTTCTTACTGGAGGCCGGAGCAAAGACGGACCAACGTGATCAGCACGGGAGCGTTGCTTTGCATGTCGGAGCCTTACATGGACACCTTGGAGTCGTGAAGGGTCTGGTTGAGGCAAAGGCTGACAAAGACCTGGTTGACCAGCATGGAGCGGCAGCCTTGCACATGGCAGCGCTGAATGGCGAGGTGGAGATCGTGCAGTTTCTTGTCTCAGAATGCGGAGCGGACAAAGATCAAACCGGCGGCTTAGGAGCTACGCCTTTGACCATTGCAGGTGAACGGGGGCATGTAGAAACGGTTCGGTTTTTACTGGAAGCCAGGGCTGACAAAGACGCGACCAATCTCCGAGGGGCAGGAGCAATCCACATGGCTGCTTTGAGCGGACATCTTGATGTTGTGCGTCTGCTGGTAGAGGCAGGTGTCGATCGTGACCTGGTTGAGAAGAATGGGGCAACAGCTTTGCACCTCGCTTCTGAGCGTGGATACAGTGCAGTGGTCACTTACCTTCTCCAGTCGCAAGCAAACGTGGACAAACCAGATAGCACTGGTCGCACCTCATTGCATCTAGCCGCTCTATACGGACACCTTGAGATCGTTAAGACTGTCATGGCTTTGTGCTCAGATGCAGACCTGCTGGATGGACAAGATTTCAGGCCTCTCCAGCTTGCAGCAGAAAACGGGCACACTGAAGTGGTGCGCTGTTTCCTTGAGGCCAAGGTTGACAAGGACACGGGGATGATGCTCATGGTCAAAAGACCGAAGAGAAGCAGTCTTGCTCTACAGGACAGGGCTCCGCGTGGAGTGACGCCCCTGCACTGCGCTGCACGGTGTGGCTGGTGCCTCACTGGGCTTGGCAAGTGCATTTGACATTCAAACAATCGGCAAGACCCAGTGAGGAGTTGCAGAGATTCAAGAGATGCATCAGTGATCCCTGTGAGAAGTTTAAAGCCAAACCGCATGCCGTGCGCTTTGCCAAAGCTACAGCTTTGCCGCCTCAGGTCACTTAGGGGTGCTGCAGCTTCTACTGGAGCTTCGCGGCGACATCGACAAGGCGAGCCGCGGACCTCCGGGGCTTCAAATCTGAAACCACCATCCCGACGCGAGGCTGGTGTGGGTGGTGCGACATCGCTGCACTACGCTGCGAACTTTGGGCATCTGGACAGTTCGCTCAGAGACTACTAGCTACTGCCTTGCACACTTTCACCACTGGCCGGGCCAAAGAGCGTTGTTGGAGTGCTTAGAGTTGCAGCATTTTGCAGGAAATCGTGCTGAAGTTGATCGAGGTGTGGCATTTTCAGCTTGCTAGACTGCCGGCAGCCAGCTGGTCACGATGTCTGCTCTGGTGATCAGTTGGTGAAGGAAATCAGGTGCAGATTGAAACTTGGGCATCGTAAGGTAGTGCGGGGGCTAGCGACTTCTTAATGATGTCAGGGGTGAGGGAATGTACGGAGGACAGTCGAACGAACGATGAGAGCGGTGGCGAACCCATCCGAAGCTGTGAGGCTAAAGCTCGCTTGGGCGCCACCACGGACGCTGGGCTCGTGATATTCAAATTATCTCAAAATCTGTACCGAGCAAGTATCATGAGCTGGACACTTCGATCAGCGATCGGGGTCGATTTTC